ATTTGGGGATTTGCTGTTGGTCAGATGAATATAAAGTGCAACTGGGGACTAGCCGTAGACTCAAGTTATGTCCATCTGGAGTCCTGCTGCATATTCTAAATCACATTTCTGCATTTCAGCCAGCCTTTGATTCCATTCCAAAGCTCCATGTGTCCTCTGCTATGCTTATGGGATTAATTTCCCTGTTCCCTTCAGCTGTGTTGCTGGAGGAATAAGATTGGATGTGTGTGTCCTTTCCAGCGAAGGGAATGAGCGTGTTGTGTGCTGTGGAGTGTTATGCAGAAAATTCCAGCAAGCAACAGGCTGTTTGTCTGAAATAGATTGCCAAGGTGCTGAATGACACGATGCAGACTTCTTCTGTTGCTTTACACATAGGCCATTGCACAGGCCATTGGTTCTGGATATATCAGCAAGAACAATGCATCCACAGACATCTTTGAAATTGGAAGTTTCTTCTTAAAAGATTCAAAAGCTAGCATTTTATCATGAAAGTGAGGGCTGAAGGTTGAAAGGCAGCTTGTAGCTTTACTAAAAGCATGAGAGGATCCTTTATCTCTTGAATTTTCCATGCACATAAAGTCTTTTAGAATGTATTAACAATGCAGACAATATTAACAATTTTCCCAAAAGCTGCAGAATCACAGCTCTGGCTTTTTAGTATTAGGGCATTTTTTCTTCTTTTCTAGGAATAATTTTTTCACCTGTAATGTTCAAGGATAAATTAGCTTATTTTCTGGAAAACTGTTCTGTGATATGTGTGGGGAGGGGAAACTACAATGGAAAGGTACACTGGATATTTGAACAGTCTCTCAGTACTATTCCATAAGCTTTCTGGTAGCACAGGATTACACTGTGACGGATATTGCAATGAAATATTTATGTCCTGGAAGTAAAGACCTAATGAGAGAGTCAAAGTGAGCACCGCAATCAGTGGTGCAGCTCATTTTCCTGTAAGCTATGGGGAGTGGAAAAGTGCCCAGAGGAAAAAAGCTCTTGGAAAATAGAGCAACATGTTCCACACGTCCCAATTCTGAAATAAGTGTGCAAAGGATTTCATCCTATGTCCATGCCATAATGGAACGAATAAACTCATTTGTGACCCCGCCCCCTGCCATTGGCAAGGTCTAGTGATTGGTTTTGAGTCCTGCTGACAAAGAGGATGATGCATGCCCAAAATGTTTATTTCTTTGATGATTTTGCTCTGTGAATAAAAATTATTTCCACTGGGACTGATTGTGTGTGTTCATGCTCGTGTGTGCGTATTTAGATTGATATCTTAATCTGTAGGAAAAATTACTAAATCACACTGGTCTGGAAGAACTCTCATATTTTGTAGATATGTTTATGTATATTTAAGCCTTAACTAAATACCTAAAACATGACAGATATTTGAATAGTTTCTCCCCATCCACAGGGTACTTTTATTCAAAATAGGCTATAATGGGTCTAAAGAGATCTGGTCAATCTCTTACTGTGTTATAATGTGCCTACATGTTCATCTTCAAGCAAACAAATCATTAATCTTAGCCTCTACCACTTACTTTCATTCATTATTGATCTTCCCATGAGATTACCTCTCAGTTATGTGTTATTGAAAGAACAGAGGTAAACCCAGTGAATGCAGGTATAAGACCTGGGCAACCTCCTATACATCTTTCTTTCATTTAGGATTTTTGCTCCTACAAAAGGCAACATGTATAACTTTTGGCAGATGTCCAAGCTCAAAATGCAGCTATCATAGTCTAGGGCTGGGACAAGATGCCACAGAATCCATTCCTCTTGCATTGGTATACTTCCTTTCATGCTCATCATGAAAGAGAGCTGAGAGGGAATTTGTGAATGCTGGTGGAACAAAGGCTCTGTAGCCAGAAACCTTCTTCCAGGTCAGACTCAGCAGGACAAAGAGAGGCGTCTACACATGACATGGAAGAGGGTGTCTCTTGTACAGGTTTTGCAGGGAGATCCATTCCTGGTGAACATTTCTGGTGAGTGCTCTTGGGCACACTTGCCAAGAATTCACAACAGCAATGAAGTGGCCTGGACTGCAAGAAGTGGAACTCAAAGGATCCAATGGATTTCTACCTCCAAAATGGATTCCTCACACATCCTTGTTGAGGGCAGACCTGAGGGAAACTGCAAAACCTCAAGGGAAGGGGCAAAGGTCTGGCTGCATGGGCAATTTATGAAGAGAACCCTTGACTATGAAGCACAGGTGGGAAGCCTTTGTCAATGGGAGAGTTCAATAGCAGAGTTTAAGTTCTTGGGCCCTGCATTCCAGTGGTGAGTGGGACTGAAGGCAGAAGCTGTGGGCCCCAAAGCACCAAGTATGCCAACGTATGTTTAGCTTAAAGATTTAATTGACTTTGGAGAGGCACAAAAACCAAGGCAGTACCAAATGATTGGGTGAAAGTAGATGGAGCCAGGGGAAGGAGCATCAATATCTGCAAAATTCCAGGGGTCCGGATTGGGATCCCTAACGACCTCGATTTGGCCCATGGGCCTGAGGTTTCACACCCCTAGGATATGAAAAATAATTACTTTTATGTGTGAATGAGCTTTTAACCCATTCAAAGAGCCACCCGAGGCCACTCAAATGCTCTAGACAGGTCATCCCATTCCTACAAGTATTTCCTGAAAACCTGCAGGCATGGCTCACCACTGATGTACCCATACCTAGCATTCAAAGCAATATCTCTGCCAAAGACAAAGGTTCCATCTATGCATCACAGCAAAAAAGAGCCAGTGTGGTTCAGGGGCTAAGAGTTTGGGGCTGGAACTCAGGTGATCTGGGTTCCAGTCCCCACTCAGTCACCTAGGCAACTTTGGGCAAGTCACAGACTCTCGATGAAGCCTACCTAAGAGGATTGTTGATGTGGGGATAAGATGGAGAGCAGCAGAAGGAGAAGGATGTAAGCCACTTGGAGGTCTTTCAAAGAAAAAAGCAGGACATAAATCAAATAAATAAATAAATAAATAGCTAGCTAGCTAGCTAGCTAGCTAGCTTCTAAAAACAAAATCCTCCCCCATAGCTCTGCCCAAAGCTTTCAAAAGGAATTTGAGATAGATCTTTTCTCATGGAACCAGATCACACATCCAGCTATGGACCATCAACCATGAGCAGCTAAGAAGTGTGCAACCATGGGTGATACACCTCCTGCTTTGTTCTCAGATGAGAAAGTGAGCAAGCAGGGCTCAGCACTGGGCCCTTTCACAGCAGACTGGTAGGCATATCTCAGTTCTCCTGACTTTTTACCCAAGGTGTGCAGCTCCAAATTACCCAGTTCACAGTGTCTGTTGTTTTTCTCTTCCAGGTTGCCACTCCTTCCAGGTCAACTTTGCTAGAGCTCCTCAACTCAACCAGATTAACTTGCAGTGCTGAAGACGACCTCAACATGCATTTAGTTATTCTGATATCAATTACAATATTGACTGAATATTTGCTTGCAAAGGCTTTTTTCAAAGATAGGAACATGTAAGTACCAAGCTCCCAGTAAAGATAATGCACTAGTAACCTGGAAAGGTAAATATTATATTTTCTTCAAAAGACCATCCTACAGATCCTAAAGATGTTTTTTTCATTGAGTTTTCTATTACTAATTCTATTTACTAATGTGGCTTTCACAGGAAATCCATTTATTGTTGTTGCTTTAAGGGCAATTCCTCTGTTTTTAGGAGAAGTAATGAAAAGTAGAGGTTGCTGTTTAACTAACAGCTTGCCTGAAACAGAAGGTCACCTACCAGTGTGATCCAGGTTGGTTCAAAGTAATCATTACCCATATTTTTCAGGGGAGCCAAATGTACGTTTGCTCACCATTGCCATTGATATTTAAAAATGGTACAGCATGTGAATGCAGAAGATTCTGCTTGTGTGGGGACAGGAGTGAAGGCAAAGACCATTCCTTGGGAACACTGGTGGGTCACAACTTTGCTAAGTGAATACAAACTGAACTGGGGTAACTTGAAGTATTTATGACTATTTCCCTTTCCCCGCTATCATGTGCACTATCTTACTGTAAGAGAGACAGTGGTGGAAAGCATGTTTCCTGGCCATGTCTATGTTGGTCAATTACACATTTCCTTCTCTTGACCATGTCTATGCTGGTCAATTATACATGTCCTTCTCTCCTCGCAAAATAAAATAAAAACACATCTCAAAATGATGATGTCTTGTTGTTAGTTGCGAAGTCGTGTCCAACCCATCGCGACCCCATGGACAACACTCCTCCAGGCCTTCCTGTCCTCCACCTTTCCCCAGAGTCCACTTAAGCTCACACCGACTGCTTCAGTGACTCCATCTAGCCACCCCATTCTCTGCCATCCCCTCCTCCTTTTGCCATCTATTGTTCCCAGCTTTAGGCTCTTCTCCAGTGAGTCCTTCCTTCTCATTAGGTGGCCAAAGTATTTGAGTTTTATCTTCAGTATCTGGCCTTCTAAAGAGCAGTCAGGGTTGATCTCCTCTAGGACTGACCAGTTAGATCGCCTTGCTGTCCAAGGGACTCGCAGGAATGATGATGTAGATGTGCATAATATTTGCTTACTCTACCATAGATGCAAATGCAGAGTTTATTATTATAATTTGAATAGACATGCAATGCATCACAATAGGCTGGAGAAGACAGTGATCAGGTGACCTGTGTGTGTGCTTGCCCTTCCCATTGTCCAGGCATTGGTGGTTCATGAGCAGTTTCAAGCTCTGTTCCCCTTTCTTATACCTCTTTAAAGTGGATTCAGACAGGATGGTTTTAAAATAGAGGTCATCCTGAAATTGAGGACTGTGTTCTAATATCTTTTCAAATAGAAGACTGTCCTCAGTAAAGTTAGCTACATGGCCAAAAAATATACACTTGGCTGACTCAACAATGGTTCATAATCTATAATACAAACATAGAAACATAGCAAGTCAGAAGAGGTCTTCCAGGCCATCTAGTCTGACCTCCGGCACCAGCCGGCTCCGCTCACGACATGCCCATCATGTGGATGTCCAGCCTATCCTTGAACACCCGCACCGATGGGGCCTCAACCACCTCCTGTGGAAGCCCACTCCACACCCTCAGGGTCCTAACTGTCAGGAAGTGCTTCCTGGCATCTAAATTGAAACTTGGTTCCCTGAACTTTGCTCAGTTGGAGCATGTCCTGTTGCCAACAGATATAGGCGACATATAGGCATGTGAGGGGATGTTGGTGGTTGTTGGTTTCTCACAGTGTTGAAGGCAGTCCATCCGAATCACAGTCACACTGACCTATAAGATTAGAGAGGGGAGACAGCAAAACTGCAAGCAAAAAGCTTGCACCCCCCTTTAAATAGTTCCATTATGAGAAAGCTCCTGCTTATAAAGGTGACAATAATATCACCTTTACCCACATTGGCCATGCCACCTGTGACCAAAATCAATGGATCTTATTATTAGATACAAAGTTAACTTTAATTAATTTTAGCCTTGAATGTGTCCCATTCACAACCATGAAGATGGACATGAAGTTTTCAAGGAAAAGGAGCATGTTCCCAAGCTTATGATTGAATTCACAAGCTGCATACTTTAGAAAAATGCACATGTGAAAATACACATCTTTTAAAAACTACACAGTTTCACAGTTTCAAAAAACACAGCTTAAAAATGATCTGAAAGTTAAAGTGGAGCTCAAATAGTGTCTGTGAGTGCAAACTTTCCTGATTCTCCCATTCCTGTCTGGCATACCAGCCAGATTATAAAGGATACCTTCTAACAGAAAAAAGTCAGTGAGAACTCATCACTTTCTCGTCACAGCCAATTTGGGCCAGAAGGCAACCAGCTATGCCCAGAGAAGTATGAGAAATTCATTCCACTTCCATTTTGATCAGGATTTATCCAGATCACACCTGCAAGACTGAACAAAGATGTGGAAGCAATCTGCAGTCAAATTCCATACATTTCCAAGATTGCAGTGTGATTCATGGACTAACCCCTGCCCCCGCCCCCGCTGCAAAAAAAAAACAGATTCAAGAGTATTTGAAAATGTGCATATATTTGAAATGCATATATGTGCATATATTTCAAATGCATATATTTGAAAAAATATACTTGAAATATGCACATTTCCTAAGAAATGTGCACCAATAGGCTTTAAGCACTGGGACAAGAATACATTCTTTTAAAAGATGTACAAAATTGATTGAAAGTACTCATTTTGGAAAGTTCTCATAGATTTTTATATGAAAGTTGGGGTGGGGGAGATCCCTTTTTTAGTCTCATGCAGACTTGAGTAGGGATGAAATTCAAGATGGATTTTGGAGACTTTGCATTTTGCTGGTTTTTGCATGCCTACCAAGATTGGGAGAATGGATAGGATGCCAAGGATGAGGTAAGATGAGTGGGTGGGAGTTAGCAATGCTCATGCCAGTGTGACGTATTGCTGGCTGGTTGCTCTGAAAGAGGCAAAGAGACTAACTAGTCAAATCTTGCCTGTATCTCCACCTCCTGTGCCATTCTCCACCCACCCAGTAGGAAAGAGAGAATGAGCAAGAATGGATCTGATAGAAAGGAGATGCTAGATGACATTCACTTCCCTCAGCCCGTGTTTCAGATCAATCAATATCATTCCTCAGGATCACATCAAAGTGGAATTTGGAGAACATCAGCATGCTTTCTGATTTGCACGTCTCTGATACATGGCAGCATTTGTTCTGATGTTTATGAAAAGTTTAAGCTCAAAGCCATCAGTATAGACAAGGACTTTCAGACAGTACAAACAAATTTTAGGTGAAAGGTGAGTGGCCTGCCTCTTCCTTATGTAGCAACTGCTGTGTCAGGAGTGCCGAAGCCTTTGTTTTCTTCCACTTGTTGGATAACTTCAGCTACCTTGTAAAAGAAAACAGGAAAAGGCAATCTATTTATACTTGCTATTGATAAATCTTCCAAGCATAATAGATTATTCAATTACTAATAGGCCTGCTTTAGACATCTTAGTGAGATAATTAAAGCACTGTGACACTTAATCAATTCATTGATTGATCATCACGCCCTTTTTTCTGGAGGTAATAATTTAATTTACAAGCTTCTACAGATTCTTCAATGCAATTTCCTTCCCTTTCCTTTTTGCCTTTCTCACCCCTTCACTTCCTGGCTTGTCCTACCCAGTAAGCTCACTGGAAGAAAGGGTAAGCTTTTCAACCATAATTGAAAATTCTGCAGGGTGCAGAAAGAACAAGGAGTACAACTGTGAGCCAAATTAGATGTATTGTTCATTGCATGGGTACAGGCAATTAACATGTCAATAAATCAGCAGAGTCATATAATATTGTAAAGAAATAAAAATAATTAAAAACATTACATAAACTTTAAATGTGAGGTTTCTTTTTTTTAATGGAATGCCAGAAGAAGGAAAACTGGCAAATTTGTCCAGGGCTTTGAATGATTAGGTCCAAATGAAAGTTTGGCCTAAACTATGTAAATTTAATCAGATCAAGGCTAAATTAGGGTAGCTCCTTTTTTCTGAGAGGTTCCTCATCTACATCAGGACTGGGGCATGCCATGACCTTATTGTCCATTCAGTACCTATGCCTATTGAATATGACTGTTGGAAGGATAAAAATGCAGTTTCAGTTCAGTTTTGAAAGAATTCACCTAATTTCTCAAAAGTTTTTTTTTAATACTTGGGAAAGAAAAAAAGATTTTAAAAATGTGGATGTGGTGGCAAGCAAAATGGATGTGTTAACCCACCAGAAGCTCCTGTTCCGAGCCCATTGTCAGCTCTGCACTTTTTGTTGTAACCCGCCCCCCCCCATAATCGAACACGCAGCCAGGGCATGGCTCGTCACGGGTAAAAAGCATGATCAGTGTGTCCTGTTCGCGTGAACAAGAACAAGAACCCCAACGAATGTGCATGCTACGCAAGGATGAAAACAAAGCAGGCTACACTCAAGCATAACCGCAGACGTCACGCCCTTGTACCCTCGCTTGCTTGCTTTAGCGTGGGAAATGTGCAAAATGTGCAAATGTAGCTCAGTGGGGTTCCCCTATTGTTCGCTGTTATTCAAGCACCTGCATAGTTGTAAAAGAGTATAAAAACGGTGCCCTCCTTCTGCTCGAGACCGCACTCCAAAGAGTGTGGTCCCTGCAGGTAATAAAAACTTCTTCTCTCGAAAATTCCAACTGGTCTCTGGTCTCATCCGTAAAACCGTGGGATGCAACACTTTTGCCTGGCTGCCACCTGCCTGCCTGTACTACTGTGCTGGCCAGTGGTGCGAACAGTGCCCCTAGACTAGTCACTCCATGATGCTGCAATTCAGGGACTGCATAGTTATTAAGATCATACTAATTACATGATTTCCATTCTATTCTGTGCACCATTCCAGAATCAGATTTTGTGCACAGATGGTTATGCACTCACATAAATTCACCCTTGCACAAATTTGCACACCTGAAAATGCACAGATCTCTCCAAGATATGCAAAACTCCCAAAGTGTGCACATTTTATCAGTTTTTCCTTTTTTATATGTTTTTCTTCAACTAAGTTTGCAAAGAGTTCCAAAGAATGAAATAAAGCCCTTCATGTTCACTTAATCACACAACTCAGGAATAGCTGCTCCACAGAATAATCTGAAAGTCAGATTTTTAGGCATTTTAGTTATGCAAGTCTATTTCAGCTTTCTAGAGCATTCCTACCAGTCCCCAGCCCTTGCTGCTGAGCAGGGTGACTCCCCCACACACCAATTTTCTTTTGCTTCAGGAAGACAGGATAAGTCTGCTACAAAGGTGACTGTTTCACAGCTGCTCTTCTGTAGTTGTAGCCTTCACCTTTTGGCTTGAGATCATCCCATTCACCCAGTATTTAGTGTGGGTTGCTTACAGGTTGCTGGTTCTGGAGCAACCAAGGATATCCCCCTTGCTATTCCAAACAGGCTGAGTGATGAGCAGCAGTTGGAGTTCGTCTTGGAGATTTACCCGTGCTGCATCTGCCTGCTGGTGAGGCTGTTTGCCAGGCTACAGCCAGTGCAGATTAGGTAGAGATGGCTAGCCTGTCAGTTTCACCTCCTGCAGGAAATCCTTTCAGATTTCCTGAAGCTTTAATTCTTCCCCTCCTGGCTATGAAGAACTTGGATTTTCAAAGTTCTTATAAAAAGGGAGCTGACATGGAATTCTTACCCATCTGCACCAGCCAAATTCAATAGGGATTAGATTGATTTGCTTTCTGCACCACACAATAACCTGAGGATACAGCTATTCCCAGCATGGAGAGGGCCATGATGCACTTGCCTGTCACTTTGCTGATAGGGACGGGCAGCCTTCCAGAAGGAAAAAGGTGGCCATCCTGATCCAGCACTGGCATTGTAGAGCATCCCAAGCCCTGGGTCTGGGTGGGTGAAGCCACCACCTTCCATTCTCCCACATTCACAAGTTTAAACACACAGTTCTTTTTGCCCTCCAGGTGGAGACTTTTGATAATCTCTGCTCATTTTTGTTAAAACTGATAACTTTCATTCATCTTTAAGGCTAGATTGGCAAGTACAGGGTGTTTTTTTTTAAAGGGAGAGAATTAGAAAGTTAATCTGCATTGCTAAAGTTGAGGAAGGTTCCTCACCCCTTCCCATTGCAGGACCATGATGCAGGAAGGGATGAAGATGGGTGTTGCACTCTGGATTTGCCTGCTGAACCTGGACAAAGCCTCAAGACCCCTGGATGGAACATGCAGTTCTCATCAGCAAGCAGAAGCATGAGCTCGTTCCTCCCTTACTTCCAAAACACCGGACAGTTTCTTTGCAACACAGATCTTTATTGGCACATCATAGCTATGAGGCAAAGTAACTCTAAATGCCATCTAGTAAGCTGAAGGACAAGCCCCTAATCATGTAGAGTGTTGAACCCAAACTGGGAATTCCCCCCCCCCCCCCCCAAATCTTTCCCTTTCAGTAACCACATGAGCTCCACCCTCAAGGTAGTGGTAGTTCCTGCTGGTGAGGGGCCAGACAGTGAGACCACGGTAAGCCACATAACTTGGCAGTTCATCTTTCCCAATACCTTGGCATGGGGCAGGGACTGGGCAAGGCACTGGCTTTCCCTCTTCCCCTTCTTGGATCTCTCCCATCTCTTCCTGCTCTGGCTTGGCCTGGAAACCTGGGGACAGTGACCGTGAGGTTTTTTCCAAACGCCTCTCCCTGAGTTTTCACAAACTCCCATTGATGAGTCATCAAGGTCCTCTTCCTCTGAATCTGAATCATGGTGGCTCTGGGATGCCTGCCAGGAGCAGCAGTCTAGTTCACTGACTGCACTTTTTGGGCTCATGAGAAGTGACCAAGGGAAAGGTATGACACTCTAGAGAGTGGACCAGACTGGGCCCTTAGGCAGGGCGATTTTGGCCCCTGAACCCTCAATTGAACATGCCTACTACAAGGAAAGAAGTGAGCAGTGGTTCCCTTCTTTTTTTTTTTTTTTAATTTGGCAGAGATTTGGGAGAACGGGGGGGAGGGTCTGAGAGCAGCAGGGATCCACTTCATTTGTTTTTGTTGTTGGAACATTGATTGAGATGTTGGGGGGGGGGAATGACCCTCCCTCCCTTCCTTTCATTAATCAGTATTCCATTATTAAAGGAATGATTTATTTACTTTTGCCAAGTGTTGCATATACATTAGCATTGCTAAAGAACAATGATATTCATCTCCCAAACAAGCAAATCTATGAGGCACTTTAGGTAACCAAATCCATGGCAATTTATAAACTTTAGCAGCTTCTTTGTAAAGAAATTGCCAGTGGACAACTATTAATTGAAATGGATATGAATAACAAAGCAATCCTGTGCAAAATCTGATTATTCCATTAGTCTTTCCCCCTCCTATTAATGAAAGAAACCAAAATTTAATCATTTCTTTCCCTAGCTGATGATTTATGCCATCCACTATGATCCATGTGAAACAGCTACACCGGAGTGCAGGTGACTTTAAATGGCTTTGTAATATATGTATATAGTTGCTGGGACCATTAATGTCAGTTGAATGCAATCACCAAGAACACACACTCAGGTAAGTAATCTTGCAGTCTTATTGTGGATGCAAATGTAATTAACATGAAATGGGCACGCTGGGTGTTGAGCCGCTGCTGTGGTTTAATGTGTTTTTCCTTCACTCCTGGAACCTAACTAAACATGGTCTATAGCACTCTTAAAATAGGAAGCATTAGCATATTGAAGTAAATTATCCATCTATCTCTCCATTTATTCACCAAGAGATCTTGCTTACCTGGACAGGGATAAATTATCTTGTCTCACAAGATGTTAATCAGGGGTTAGTATCTTAGTGTCCAGTATCAGCTAATTATGGCTTTTCTGTTTTGTTTTCTCCAAGAGGTTGGATTGTTTTCAGGAAGCTTTGATATGAATGTTTGCAAAATTTCCAGCAACATTTCACAAATTTCTTGATTTAAGTTTCTGATACAAGATCTGGCAGCAAAATGTAAATCTTATTTGGCTTGATTGGCTAATGGCACAGCTCTCTGGGCTGCAGCCTTGATGCTTACAAGGTCATGAATTTGTTGGCTCATGCCAATCCTTGTTTCCCTGCCTTTTTCTCAGTTTGGACTATTTTGCCCTTCTAGTGAAATCATGGGAGGGGGAGGGAAGGAGGCTGGAGAAGGCCAAGGAAAGCTTGTATCCTGGCTCCTTCCCCACTCACTGAAATGCTTCCTTTTATCTTTCTCTGAAGACATACCCTTACCTCAGAAGCAGCTACTGCAGTTCTTGCCACAACATTTGTGAACAGGACATGTGGATTCCCAGCTCTGAGATTGAAGCCATAATTTGAGACTCGGGTCTGAGAATCGGAGCGATCCTCTGGCCCCTCATATCAAAGCAGCTATGGAATTGCTCTGTTATTGACAAATTGCCATTAAAACCATGCTTGCTCAAGCCACCATTCTATTGCTTCTTACCTGAGAGTAAGCTGCATTGCATTGCTTTACATTGGGCTTACCTCTAAGAAGATATATTTTGCTGTCAATTTTTCACATGTCATCTATCTGAGACTGTCAAAGGACTCAGTGCTGCTGCATGTAAACTGACAGATAAGGCAAATACTAATTACTGCATGACTGCGAGTGTGCATTGAGAATGCTGCCAAATATGGTCAGCTGTCAAATATTGTCAAACACTGGCAGGTATTGAATCCCACCAGTCAGTCAGTAACAGTCAAACATTAGCTATCAAATCCTATGAAATGTTGATCGCTACTGCATGTCAGCCGTCAGACAGTATCATACGTTGAGTGCAACTGCAAAATCTTCAGGTGGAAACTACTGATGCTAAATAATTAGGGGTGTGAGAGAAATTTGCTTCTGTTCATTTTTGATGAGAGTTTAACCAGTTTTCACTTAATAGTACACAGAGTTAGATACAACCTATGGTCAAAATCTGTACATTTCTGAACTTGCTATGTGATTTGTGAAACAAATACTCACCGTAGATAAAATGCATTCATTTTAAAAATGTGCACTTTTGAAAAATGTGGACAAATAGATTTTAATCAATGAGAGAAGAATAAATGTCTTTCAGAGAAATGCCCAACTGATGTCCAAGCATGTATGAAAATACTCATGGATTTTCATGCAAGAAGAGAAGGCAAAGCTTGCATCCTGATACAGGCTTGAGGCAGAATGAACTTTGAGATGAAATCCAGAAAACTTCACCTGCTTAATTATGGCTGATTTACAGATCCAGGTGAATAATAAATACTCCTGAGCATGTGTGCATTAAGAGACTATTCACCACTGGAATTCACTGAAGACAAATCTGAGGAGAATTTTTAGAGCAAGTTTTCTTCAGCGAGAGTTTTAAGCTGCTCCAGTTAATTTAAACTTTGTCTCCTTCTGTGTATCAAGTGAATGATCATTGTGTTGCTTATGCCATCACTTGCTCCGAAAAGAAACAGATGAAACCCAAGGACCCTTGAACACTTGAAGGCTATTTTGTCTCTGTTTTAAAATCAGTCCCTTGATCATGTAAACACTTGAGATTGAAGTGCATTATTCCTAGCTACCTGATCATGCAAGTAAACCAAAATATCCTTGCATTGTGATAATGGATGCTCAGCCACAGATAACAATGTTATTTATTTGATTCCTAAACCTATTTATTCATTATGTCAGTTTATTAGTGTCTGTGCACTAGAGTTACAAGAATCATATACCATGTGGTTTGGATCCAATTTTAGTCATACCATGAGTACGCTCATGGAGAGCAAGAGTACTCAAGTTAGTCAACATAAGCATATTTAGTCTCAGTGGGTCTACCATAAGCATGACTAAGGAAGTAAGACCATCCATGTTCAGCAGGGAAAAAGGCTCTTGGCATTCTCCAGTTAGCTATGGGAGTTATGAGCTTTTCTTATTTCTTTCCAAACATGCTTAGGATTGTGAACTAAGTATAGATTCAGGCATATCCATAGACATTTATATAGTAAATGCTGTAAAGCTGTTTGGCGTATCATGTTGTTGGTGGTGGTGATCTGGAAGTGAGAAACTTGTGTTTAACTCCTTTGTCATGGTCAGATCAATTTCTCATAAGGTTTGAGCTCAGGGACAACCTTCCCCTCTGTAAGGGTGCAGACCCTATTAAGATGGTCCACCCCCAGAGACATATGGATCCTAATGGATTCCTGAGGGCTCTTGGGGATTTTCCAGTTGATAAAGCAGGTGCTCCTGTTGATGCTCTGGTTGATTTGTGGAATGGGGAAATGACCAGGGCAATCAACGTGAATTCTCCTAAGCATCCTCTCTCATCAGGCAGACCCTGCTCAGCACCCTGGCACACACATGAGTTGCCGGCGATGAAGCAGGTTGAGAGACTATTAGAGTGCAGGTGGAGGAAATCATGGGATGAATCTGACCGAAAATGCTTATGTGTTCATTATTGAGCCTATGCTGTGGTGGTGAGGGCAGTGAAGAAGAAATTCTTCTCCACTTCCATTGCCTTGTCACAGTGTTGTCCAGTGGAGCTTTTTCATGTGGTACATGGCCTGATACACTCTGGCCCTAAAAAAAATCCAGTGGCACCATTGAGAGCCTGCTGTGATTTTGTCCAGTATTTTAAGGAGAAAATAGCTCAGATTTTTCATGAGCTGGATTCCACATTACAGGAAGCAAACAAAGCCCCTTCTGGTCCATCAATGTCGGATGAGTTCCAGTTGCTGCGGCCTGATGATGTGGACAAGGTGCTTGGACTGGTATGCCCTACTACCTGCTTGCGTGACCCTTGCCCTTCATGACTACTTACCAAAGCCAAACACGGAATTGGTACCTGGGTCCAGGAGGTTATTAATGAGGGAGGGCTGGGTCCCTGCCCTTTGAAGGAGGTGGTGATCAGGCCCATCCTGAAGAAGGCATTCCTGGGCCCAGAGGTGGCCACCAATTATAGACCGGTGGCCAACATCCTGTTCTTGGGCAAGGTATTGGAGCGGGTGTTGGCGGGACAACTCCAGGCGCTCTTGGATGAAATGGATTGTTGTTGTTAGACACGAAGTAGTGTCTGACCCATCGCGGACCCATGGACAACATTCCTCCAGGCTTTTCTGTCCTCCACCATCCTCCAGGGTCCACCCAAGCCCACACCCACTGCCCCAGTGACCCCATCTAGCCACCTCAACCTCTGCCATCCCCTTCTGCTTTTGCCTCAATTGTTCCCAGCATCAGGGCCTTCTCCAGTGAGTCCTTCCTTCTCATTAGGTGGCCAAAGTATTTGAGTTTCATCTTTAGTATGTGGCCTTCTAAAGAGCAGTCAGGGTTGGTCTCCTCTAGGACTGACCAGTTTTGAAACGGATCCATTTCAGTCCAGTTTCAGACCCGGTTACAGTACTGAATCTGCCTTGGTCACTCTGTATGATGACCTGTGCAGGGAGAGAGGCAAGGGGGGGGGGTGCATCCCTGTTAGTTCTCCTGGACCTCTCAGTGGCTTTTGATAACATTAACCATGGTATCCTTCTGGATAGGCTGGTCACACTGGGAGTAAAAAGCTCTGCTTGGCAGTGGTTCTGCTCCTATTTGGCTGGCCGATTCCCGAAGGTGATGCTGGGAGACTATAGCTCTGCACCATGACAGCTTTGCCATGGAGTATTACAGGGCTCTATTTTGTCCCCCATGGTTTTTAATATCTACATGAAACCACTGGGAGAGGTCATCCGGAGGGTTGGTCTGCGGAGTCAACAGTATTCTGATGATACCCAGATTTACCTCTCATTTACATCTACTCCAGGTGAGGCAGTGGCTGTACTGAACTGGTGCCTGGTTGAGGTAATGGGCTGGATGAGGGCCAGCAAACTGAAACTCAATCCAGATAAGATTGAGGTCCCTTTGGTGGGCGGTTCAGGTTTTCAGGTAAGTGACGTTGTCCCTGTAAAGGACAGGGTCCGCAGCATAGGACTGCTCCTCAACCCGGAACTGTCCCTGGAAGCCCAGGTGGCAGCAGTGGCAAGGAGTGCTTTCCTTCAGCTTTGGCTGATCCATCAGCTGCATCCTTACCTGGATGAGCGCTGTAACAGTGACACACACTCTGGTAACCTCCTGGTTGGATTATTGTCATGCACTCTATGTGGGGCTGCCCTTGCAGATGGTCCAGATACTTCAACTGGTTCAAAACAGAGCTGCCAGATTGCTGTCAGGGGGGTAGTCACTATTCTCATGTAATGACAGTCCTCTATCAGCTCCACTGGCTATCCACTGGCCTGGGCCAAGTTTAAGGTTCTGGTATTGACATATAAAGTCCTAAATGGCTTGAGAGCAGGATACCTGAAGGAATGTCCTTTTTCCTACATGCCCTCTCACCCCTTAAGATCTTTAGTGGAGGCCCTGCTCTGGGAACCTTCCTTGAAGGAGGTTAGGAAAGAATATATTCAGAGGAGGGCCTTCTCTGTGGTGATACCCCAGCTATGGAATGCACTCCCCAGAGAGGTCCACCTGGCGCTGATCTTATACGCTTTTGGCACCAGGTCAAGACCTTTCTATTTCCTGTAATTTCAGTGTTTAAATATTTTAACTATGTTTTATGCTCAGTTGTGGATTATTATGGATTATTATGGGTTTATATGTATTTATTGGGTGTTCAATTTGTAAACCATCCAGGGACGTGCAATGTACTTGGGCAGGATAAAAATACCCAAATAAAATAATAATAAATAAAGGTGGAATATAAATGCATAGATTGCCAGTTATCTCCATTCAGTTGCAATTGGTATAATCCCTGATGATGATGATGATGATGATGATGATGATGATGATTGGAGTTGAAATTATTTCCACCAACCACCAGTTTGGCTGTGATAGGGCACCCCTGAGATTTTTTGATGACCATTATTTGATGATGAAAGCAGGACAAAACCAGTAACCATGTGAGTGTTTGTCTTTAGGAGATGTTTATTGCCTAGCACAATTTTAAATGATGAGGATTTGCTGTAAACAACTGCTAATGCTAGATAATAACCTAGTAAGTGCTTTCCATAGTTATCCTAACATGACCTAAAATGTTACTGTCCATCGCTTGTGGCAACCTATGAAAAATTAACGGTAATGCTTAGGAATTGAATATTAAGATCACTGATTAGGCTCATGCCATAGTTCTCAAACCACTGCAGTCTTCTCCTGAGAAACATGTGCATGCATGTAAATCAGCAGCCCTCTAGATGTTGTTAGAGTACAGCATCCTTTGCCCTGTAACACCCCTCATCACTGGCTTGGTGGGCGTGACTGATGGAAGTAGCAGTCCAACAACTTTTGGCAGACGAGAATTTCCCACTGATGATATAAATCAGAGCAACAAACTTGTCCATCTGTCCAGTATGCAGGTTTATTTTTTCAGGTATAAAATTCAGGAGTAGATTACTATAAATTCAGTGAACCTAAATGTCTAAGATGCGATGGGAAATGCCCCTATATGTGACATTAAAACAGACATTCTGTCTATATCATAAAGTGGTTGTCTAATCACCTTTCTTCTCCAAAGCCCCACAGCCCTGGCTCAGTCAACATCATCTGTGAAAACAAACCATAATGCAAACTCAGGAAAAAACTAACCAGATAAAACTAAAACACATCCAGAACAAAATAGCAAATGAGAACAGGAGATAACAACAGCCACCCCACTGGGAAATCATACAGGGGTTTATGTTGTGAAGCCTCATAATGAGGTGACTCATTGTTAGATTGGCTTCCTCCAAAGACAAAAAGAAGGGAGGGAGGAGATGAGGTCAAATGGTAAACTGACAGAACTCCTTTTCTTCTTCTTTCACTTTTTCCTCTTCTTGTTTGGTGCTGTTTCTTTTTTCCCTCTAAATCGGTGGAGACGTCACTAAGAAAGTCCCCCAAGATTAGACATGGTGTCATTTGCCCCTGCACTTCTCAAGCAACCGGGTTCCCAACAGCACTCCATGCCCTAGCATTTGTTGTCACCCATCTGGACACCTACAATTAGTGTAAGAGTTTCCTTGTACTTTACGCTTAATTCTGATGCTTCATTACTATTCTTCATTGGTGTTCATCTTTATCCTATTTTTAATACAATCATGACCTCTAATTGATTCTACATCCCTGCCAATGCACCACACCATTTCTGTTTCATTAGTTTTCTTTTTGTCAATATGTCCTTGGCTGAATATACCAGAGTTGATTATGGTAGTCAGGGTGGGGGTATTTTTCTCCAAGTTATCCTCTGTCCAGGTGTCTTTTCCTGACTCTACTTCTGGTTTGGCCTACTTGTGTTATATCAGTCTTGAAAATTTTCCATTAGCATCAAGGAAACAGAGGCAGACCTTCCCTGATTTGCATCAGAACTTTATGGAACTGCACACACACACGCATGCATGCACACATGTTTATGAATAGCTTAATAAACAGCTAGGGATGCTTAAAGAATTGTGGGGAGAATGGACTAGGGAGGATGTCCATCAAACTTCATCCTTTTGCTAGCACAGATTTCGGCTTGCTGCCTGCACATTTCTGTGGAATTGCTGCAGTGCAAGCTGAGTTGGCTTGTGAACTTCTGTCTATAAGACAGTTCATGATTTGCATTTTTACACCACCAATGGAATTTATGGAAACTGCACCGAGAAAAACTGCACATAGTCTTAATAGTACTTGCATGATTTATGCAAATCTCTCTAGGCCACATGGTTTTTCTGCTGCAGTTCTGCACAAAATGGTGCTTTTGGAACAAAAGACCACCTGAAAAACATACAGGTTACTGAGATTCACACAAATCCTTCTGAATAACATGTTTTTTCAGGTGCCATTTTAAACAGAAACAGCACCTGGAAGACATACGGCCAACCAAATAGAATATGTCTGAATAAAAGCATATTAATTTTTTCCAGCATGTGCCAGTTTCTTGTAAATTACCAAAAAGAGGGGGGACACAAACCTTGGCTTGACCCACTTCCAGAAGAAGGTGAGAAATCTTATGTGGTCAAATGAGCTGCATTTCCCTGTTTTGGTACGACAGCTGCAAGTTCTTGACCAACAGCCACAGTGAAACCAGCTACTGACAGATGCTTTCTATCTTAACCTTAGAGCCTCTCCAAGGGGCATGAAGACCATTCAGAAGCTGTGACTGGTGCAGAATGAGGTGCTGGTCTTACCCTATAAAGCCCTACATGACTTGGGACTGCAGTACCAGTCATAGGACCTCACCTGGTGCAATCTTCCTGGACACTATGCTCAGCCTCTGGGGCATTCTTGTGAGTGCCAACCCACAAGAAGCTCAGAGGGTGGCAACTAAGGGGAGGGCCTTTCCTGCGTTGGTCCCCCATCTTTGAAACAACCTTCTTGCTGCAGCTTGCCTGACACCAAATTTGCCTTCCTTGCAGAAGCCTTTAAATATTCTTTTGGTTGTCCAGCTGATTTTTCTTCTTTGCTAGGTCTTTTTACTGTATTATAAAGCTATTTTAATTAATTTTAAATTAATTCTAATATTGTTGTTTGTATGTTATTTGGTAGTGTGTTTTATTGTTTTATTTTATACATTGTTGTAAACTGCATAGCAAGCTTCAGCTATGTGGTGGTATAGAACTGAAATAAATGAATAAAATATAGGCATAAAGAAAGAAAGAACAAGAAATAATGTCCTTGTTTTAATAATGGGAATAGTCTTGATTTTCTATGGCTCTGTGGAGCAGTTACAGCTACATTTATGGGTATGGCAATGGTTGTTTTTTGGATGGAACCATGACTATTGCTGTTACTAGTGTTATTTTGTTTGTGTTATGTATTATTATTGTGTACTTCTTGTTTATTTAGTATAAGTTATTACAATATTTTATTTATTTATTTAGAGAACTTCTATGCTGCCCCATTCGCCGAAGCCTCGGGGCGGCTCACAATCATAAATAAACAAACACAATATAAAACAGTATAACTTAAGTTGCCCTGGCCAAAGAATAAAATAAATATATAATATGAACAATTAAAATAACATTTGAATAAAAAGGTCTTCACCTGGCACTGAAAAACAAATAATGACGGCGCCAGGCGGACCTCTCTGGGGAGCACATTCCATAAATTGGGCGCCACTGCAGAGAAAGCCCTCCTCTGAGTACTTACCCTCCTAATTTATTTTATTGCTGCGTTACTTTTGCTACCATTGCACTTTGCTAACACCTTATATTTATTGTAGATGAAGAGGAGATCATGGATTACGTGGGAAGGGCACCTGGGTATGGATCCTGCTGCCCATGCTGATGTTGTACATTGTATTGTATTTTAACTTTATGTGCATGCATGTTTCATGTTGTACACCATTCAGAAAGCTCATGAGCTGTGAGCAGTATACTGAATTTGTTTAATTAAATAAATAAATATAGCTTTGCCCCCATTTACATCCATCTGCCGACGGGATTGCATTCAGCAGCAGAATG